AACCGTTACAGAGCTCGATGTCGAGTCGTTTGACAAAAAGGAGAGACATGGGAAGTTATGCCTCGAACACATGACACACATACTACACTCACGTCCTTCGTAATTAACGTTGTTATTATAATGGAATTTATCGACGTGACCAAGTCGTGATTAATTCTACTCTGTTACATTATTGTACGAAAGATTAAGGGACATTCAATAAACAGTAACATAAATTCAATAAAAGGATATAAAAGCGCATTTCTGCTCCGATCAATCAAGCGATATTTAATGCACAGTATTTTCCTATTGCTTTGTATAAACGACATAGTCAAAATATCGCATACTTACGATATTTCGATGTAGCCAACTTCCTCATCATGCGAGAATAAAAAAAAATTTGTTTTTAAATAAATTAAAAGCGATGTTATAAATCTTTGGATACTGCAAGTCAAAAATTTCGAGTGTTTTTTGCGGACAGAAATTTAATTCTCTTTCTATTACGAAAATCAATGGACCATTCATTCCACTTTCTAAAAATCAGAATATTGGATAAAGCTTCACAAAAAAAGTAGCTATTTAAATTCCCAAATCAATTTTGGAACTCCATCCTTTAAACTTTAAACGATCATCAAACTCGAGAGAGGAGAATGGATAAGTGGAAATATTTCCATCGCGTATTAATTTCTAAAAAATTCTTCAAATACATGCGTTTTGATTTTTACGTTTCAGTCCGTTCGCAAGAATACCACCCTATATTTTGCCGGCACAAAAGATAATCTCATCTAATACACGATAAATCGATTATTTCAAAGTTGTAAATCTCTTTTAAATCGAAGCTCATCAAGAAAATATACTTGCATCTCTCGAGTCTTAAGTTATAATCTCATAATTCATAAAAATAAATATTTCCACTCCGGTATGGTACAATTTGAGAAACTCTTAATATTAAGCTAATAATAATTTCGTAGGACTATATAGGTATTAAGAACCATCCGCATTGCTCTCAAGACATTTATTATTTTTTAATATACTTAATAAATGTACACAGAACGTATATTCATCAAATGGGGATATAAATCGAGCAGTTTTGTCTTGTACTATGTCTCCAAAGTCATCGAGCATTTCTCATTCTGCACGCTATTCCGTGCATTATATACAGAAAATAAAGACTCGTGAGAAATGATACCTGTGCATCTATGAGCTACATAACATTGATCTAGAAACTCTTACAAAACCGCAATACAATGATCCTAGCGACTACGAATATGCAATTAAATATTATGCTACAATGATTAGATCAAGTACTCAGACGCATTTCACATAATATTCCTATTAACGTACATCGCGTATCACCATTCGAACATGATTATAAAAAACAATTATCCGTACATTCAACATTAAATATTGCGGATACATGAGATATTCCGCTCACGATAACATATGAAGGGTGATCTTTATATTAAATAGAATTTATGAAGCTTTAATCGCTATATTTATAAAAAGATGATAAGGATCTGTAATCGCAAAGTAGAAAAAGATTGAATAATGATGCAGCAATGTATTGAAGGAATGCACAGCACATCACCTCGATAGAAACCTATGCAATAAATTTATAAGCGCTTACGAATTTCTCAGATAGATTACAAATCCTAGATAACCGTGTGGATGCTTCGTAACATGACGTAGATTCTTTCCGATTAGCACGAGCGAACTTGGTTTAATATATCGACATTCGTAAAAAATGCCATTCGCAAAGTTGTAACAAAAAAAAACCTTCGCTCGGAAAAAGGCATCTAAAAAGACTATATCTAGTCTTATCAATTTATTTCTTTTGGCCGTTGTAAAAAATACGTCCTTATTATTTGATTACCCGAGGAAAGCACTTTAGCGTGCTGTTATAGAGAATATAGGTGTCGCGATTGACACATTCATCGAAATAAGTTCAAAAAATTTTTACACCATGCGATAACGATTAAAAATGGAGTTTAAAGGAAGATAAGTTTCAATAACAACGTATCCGTTAAATTAATCGCGGGTTGTGATTAAACCGCGATATTTTGCAATAATCTATTACAGTCATAAATATGTGCGCTGGGCTAATTTACTAGCAGGCAATATGGCAAAAAATCGCATTCGTTACAACATCCAATTTATGAGTGCGATTCACAGACATGTACAATATAACTGATTTCACGTTAATGTCTCACGGTATTATCTCCCTCGCGTGATAATACAAATATCATTTTTAAGCAAGTTGCAAACTTTTCTGGAATATAGCCATCTATAGGTGTCTCTTTGAGTGTGGTAAGATTAAAGAAAAGAATTGGGAATCCTGCTAATGTTTTGTAATGAAACAAGAGAAATTAGTTTTAGCCACGTCTTCTTATAAGAAGTCTTTTGTATCGTTGACTAAGAGAAACGTAAATAGTAATGTAAATACGAATCAATTTTTTAATGAACATTCTCATGGACGCATAAAATTAGAAAATATGTGTTGTCATAAAAGAGAAATTAAACGAACATTAGATTCCAGAGACATTTCGATGCGGCATCACTTGAAAAGACACTCTTTCATTTATTCGTGTTTTGTTACGGCAATGCATGCGGAACGACATAACATTGAGTATTTCAATCGACAAGCATACGCAACATACATACACGCACACACGTATACACACGCGTATATACATTTAATTCGATAGATCGACAACGACATACTTTTTGAAATATAACTGCGTAAACGCGCGCTATCTCACGCTCTTTGTTAACATTCTTATGAAGTATACCGCAAAAAAAAAAGAAGGACTGTACATAGTGCCTTAATTTATGTAATATACAAGTATTTTTTTTATATTATCAAAACATTAGACTGGTTGTATCAATTGCACGTAACATTATGACTGGTCTATGATAATGTACAAGATTTCATCGTTGAACTATGTACATTTTTCAACGCTGCGAAAATTAGACAGATTGGCGTGGATTACGAGGTAAAAGAAGATAGCTTAGCGTAACAATGTCACAAGTACGCCAATTTTAATTAACACAAAATTCACTTTAGTTAAAAGGAGAAAAGCTAGCAACAGGCAGAAAAATTGATACAGCATCCCAGCAAACACAAAGTAACAGTTACACAACTGTAAGTTAAAATTTCCTACTCAACAACATAACACACGTGTTATATAACAGTTATATTGTTGAGTAGGAAATTTTAACTTACAGTTATGTAACTGTTACTTTGTGTTTGCTGGGATATCGATGAATTACATTACAGCGTTTGAAATTTTGGTACAGAACTTTTTGGTACAGAACTTTTTGTCAAATTACAATCGCGAGAGACATTTAAAAATTTAGTAGCGATATCGTTATCATAATTGGACAATTTAACAATACAATCCGTAAGTCAAAAAATATTACAATTAAATAATTTCTTCTAGGAAAAGTTCTGAAAGAGAGAAGAATGCGCTTACGATATTTTATCTAATATACCTTAACATCACACGAGTTATCCCATAACTCTTTCATTTCCTATATGTTATCATACATACATAGATACATACGCTATATTACTAGATCGTCTTATATATGAATATTCTGTTCGCTTTGCAATACGTGTAAATATACGCTTTCTCTTTCTGATGACCGAGTAGTCATTATAAGCCAAGTATATCTATATTTCGTATAAACACTAATTTACAATTACTTATCTTCTTCGATCATATATATTCTTGTAATAAACATGAGTGATATTTTCTTTGCCAGCCATTAAATAACCGAACGAGTAATATTATTCGACCATAAATGATGGAAATTTCATTTAAAATATTACCTCAGCCAGGATTTGAACCTGGACCCCCTTGCTTCTAAGCAGGCGTCTCACCAATTCGACCAGTGAGGCATGTGGCAATATTTATCGCAATAAACTTTCAAATGATATTCCCCAGAGAGAAAGAGAGAGAGATATATATGTATATATATTTGTATTCGTCACTATAATAATAATTATTATTATTACAGTATATTACAAATTAATAATTTAAATACAGAAGTACTAGATGTATAATGATACAGCACTTTGAAAAAAGAAAAGTGTATATCAATACATTACACAGCAAACATGATACTCGCATTTTCTTCTTACAAATACTTTTTTTTTATATTACTAAATCAGTACTACGTGTGACACATGTGCTAAATAAAATCAACTTTGTTGTGTCCACATACTATAATAAATGCATCATAAATATAATTTTAATTACCCCAAAAGAAGATTGCGAATATTTTAAAAATAGCGAAGCGCTAAATCTTTATACACGTTAGACTTTTCCGTAATGTTCTATCTCTTATATTGGATAAATCTTTACATGCTGAGCGTTTTTCACATGTTGTACCTTTGTATATATTGTATCTTTCATTGTCTCTATATCTTTGTGTGTATTTTAGGTCTATTTTTATACGCTGCATCTTTTATATAGTCGGACATTATACATGTATCTGGTAAATGTTTCACATTTTATACAAATAAAACTTTTGCGTTCGTCAGGTATGTTAAATTTTAAACATTAGCAACAAAAATCATTAATGTTAAATGTTAGATATTTTAAGTTTCACTATTTTTTGATACATTGTAACGAAATTAAAAGCAAACAAATTTTTCGGAAGCATTTATATTAAAATAGAATCTGTACGTTTAGATAAATTATTAGCGAATTATAATGCAGACATAATGTGACGGCGGAAATTGGAGAAAAATGAGAAATCTGAGCCAAAAAAGATGCAACAAACAGGCGAGACTAATAGCGAATTCGATTGCGTGCACTAGTGCGCACCGAGTGCGCACTAAGGCCTGTTTATACACTGAAAAAAATATTTGTAAAATTACATGATTATGCTGGGTTTTTTTCCGACCCAGCATAATCATGCAATATTACTACCCACATGGAAAATTGTAGACTTTTTTCTGTAATTTTGCATGAAAATTCAAGAGATTTTTACACAAAAATAGTAATTTCATCCATATTTTACCATTAATATGTATTTTCGCTTTAAGAAATCTGGAAAAAAAATTACAGTTATAATTAGGCAATTTTCCGGATTTGAACAAGTAATTTCCATGAAAAAGTACATAAATTTTTTTCGGTGGTCAATTTTTTACATTTAACTTTGTCTTAAATACATATTCAAAAAATATCTCTCAAGATATATTTACCCAGTAATTTAAGACGATCCTTAAATATAAGAATTGACTGTAAACAAGCCTTAATATGCCTTCAGTGTGCGCTAGTGCAAGCAACCGAATTCGCTATATAAAAGAGAAGCTTGATGAGAGAAGCATATTGGCGTATTAGCGGCAAAAATCCAGCAGAATCTATTGAACGTAATGTAAAGGCAAATTAGCGACAGATTCTGCTCGATTTCTGCGAATCTACTTAGATTGATCGATCTATTTAAAATGCGTTTAGCAAATTCTATTCGATTTTTATCACTAATCTGCACCAGACTATGTTACAGATTCTACTTGATCTTCGTTATCGTATTTTCTTGGCAAATTTTACCAATATGCTAGCAATTGTTGACACTTTTTCAAGAATTGTGAAAAAGAACTAAAAAAATATTTGATTTTATATATTATACTTACTATCACAAGAGTCTTCAATCTGCGCAAATTACCGCAAATGGTGAATTCCTAACTTGCATAAGTTATTGCAGCGATCAAACTGAAAAACTGTACTCAAAAATTCTTCTGGGGTCTCGTGTACTACTGCTTTTTTACCATTAAAAAGTCTTCCGTAAGATCGTATGACTTAATATATGATCTTACAAGTACGCCTACATAAATTAACGTGTCATGCCTTATATTACAGATGGTCACGACGCAGAGAAAAACTGCTGAAGACGTTGCACAGTCCTACGATCCAATGCGCACAGATCAAAGTCGAATGTCTTCTTGGTGATTTCGTATTGACCAGTTTCCGCAATCACTTGTACGACTCTTTGCAGCTCGTCGTTATCTTGCAATGTCATTATCTTGTGTTGCAAATCCTTCAATTGTGACACATAATCCTCGGAAAATACCGGCGGCTCGCTGATCTCCGCGTCCGTGCTATTTGTAGAATCCGGGGCTACTTGTTCAGGATCCGCATCCTTATCGTTTAACATATTGTCGGCTATATTGACAGCATGGCCGTCCTTCTCCTTTTTAAACTCCTTGATCTCCTTTTCTGAATGATGAATGGAATCGATATCTATCGCGACTGGAGATTGGCTCGATGAAACCGGCTCCAAGGGCGGAGAAGTGGACTGACCCCTGATCTTTTCACGTTTCACTGAACCTTCGTCGTCTTCCTTGCTCCTCTTCCTTTTCCGACTGTCTTTCTCCTCGCCTCTGCTCCCTTTGGATTTGTCTCTTCTGCTGCGATCGCTCTTCTCCTTCTTTAACTCCACCGATATACCAGGAGACAGTGGCTTCGCTGTTTCTGCTGGTATAGTGGATATTACGGCGTGCTCTGGTTCCTTTTTGACGTTAGGTACGGGTTTGCTCTCGGGTAATGAATCGTCGTCTACCGAAGGTGCCGAATCGCTACTGTCTCTTTCCGGGATCTCCGTCAAGAGAGACGACAATGGATTCTCGGCTAATGCAGACGTGCTGTTCTGCTTTTCATTCTCATCCTTGCTTTTATCGCGCTTCTCTCTCCTCTCTCGGTCCTTGCTGTCTCTTTTATCCTTCTTCTCCCTCTTTTTATGCTTATGCTTCGGCCGATCCTTATCGTATTTGCCGTCCTTTACCTTCTCAGACTTGTCGCTCTTCTCCGATTTCTCTCTTATCGCTTTATCATCTTTCACTTTGTCATTTTCTTTCCCGGGTTTGGGAGATTTTCTACCGTCCTTTGATTTGTACTCTTGAAGCTTCTCCTTGTCCGACTTGTCCGCTTTATCTGTTTTCTCGAGTTTTTTCTCAATTATCTTGGCGACATCTTTAACATTAGCTTTCTCCGATTCCTTATATTTATCTTTCCTCTCTTTGTCCCTATCATCCTTATGTTTCTTCTTGTCTTTCTTCTTTTCAGACTTTGAAGAATCCACATCACTTCTCGAGTTATTCTTAACTTTCTCCTTTTCTTTGCTATCTTTCTCCTTGTCTAGGGCGACTTTCTTCGTCTCCTTCTCTTTCGATTTAGGAGACGGAGGTCGTTTAATAGGCGGCAATGGGCTTAACGGCTTCTTTGTAGCGACAGGTGACGCCGGTCTTTTGCTTCCAGGACTCGAATGACTTTTATTTCCGGGACTAGGGGGTCTCTTAGATTTCTCTTTACTCCTGAGTTGATCCTTAGAACTATCTCTAACCTTTTTATCCTTCTTCTCGTCCACTTTGTCTTTCCTACCATCTTTGTGAGGACTCTCCTTCGATTTAACTGTCTTATCCACTTTGTCAGACTTTTCAGTAACAGCTAAAGGTTTAGGAACCAAACTCTTATCGGACTGACTCGTCTTCTTGCTGTCTGGCGATATCTTCGCAGGCGCCGTCTTTATGGGAGGGCCAAATAAATCGTGAAACGAATTAGAAGTCTTAGGCTCGGCGATGCGATGTTTCTTGTTTTCGCTGCCATTTAATTTCGGCTTGCCAACCATCGCGGATGTTTTCGTATCACTTTTCTCCAATGAACCGTCTCTACTGGACACTACAACCTAGAATTATGAAAATCAGAAAAATTACTACACCAATGTACCAATTTGTTGCTTAATATAACGACATTGATTACACAGTATGGCTGCTGGCAGAGCGATTCGTAAACACTTTAGGCTACTTAGTCGCAGATGCAAGGCAAGGCAGAGAAAAACTTCAGTGAAATCTATTATGCACAACTTAAGTTTTTCTCTGCCTCGCTTAGGTCTACAACTAAAACGGTCTTGAGAGGATCCTGAAGTCATCTTTTTTGCCCCAACACATTCGAATATAGTTTTTACGCTTAGAAATCTTTTTATTGGCTTTTATGCACAAAATAATACCAGGACGAGCGGTGGACCGCATAGCAGAACATTTTCGTGCTTAAAACACTCGGGTCAGAAGTCTAATAAGAGGGAAATTGGTGTTTGAAATGTTCCATTTTTTATTCGTGAGCAAGAATTTTGCAATTTTACGAAGCCAATTTCAAATTGCTCGAATAAAAAGTGGAAAATTTCAATTTCTTTTTCTTTTACACTTCTAAACCGAGTGCTTCAAGTACGAAAATGTTCCGCCATGCGGTCTGCATCTCGGCCTCGTGTGATTTTGTGCACACAAGCCAATAAAAGGATTTACAAGCGTGAAATCTACGTTCGAAAGTGTCGGTGAAAAAAAAAAGATGACTTTAGTAGGCTATCAGCCCGCATTTGCACATAATGTAATTGCCACGCAGTCCACAAGGATTCAAGTAAAAAGCTATACTTACAGCTCCACCTTTCAACAGCTTTTTCCTAAAGTCATCGGAAGGATTACGGAATACTTCTACGTGACGTATGGTCTTGTTAATAGGCGGGCCGCTCTGCTGCAGATGCAGATCGTACGATATTTGAAACTTCTTGGGCTCATCTTTGTTCCTCAGATAAATCTCAATCGGAATTATGAAGCCCGCGTAGCCGGACTCCTTCACCACGAACGGCGGCTCCTTGATTACTCTCTTAGGATTTCGAAAGGTATCATGCAAGAGAAACACCACTGAAAGTACAAAGAGAAAGCCATGGAGTCAAGAAAGACAACTTCGCCAGCGAGTAAAGGCTGTCGCGGGGGGCCGATCAGTGCGCAATTTCGGTGAGGAGTTATTAAAATGTGCGTTTGTTTCGGTCCCTTCCACAACTTTGCCGCACCGGCAATGTAAATGTCGCAAGACACAACGCGGGATAATCCGCCGAGGATTCCCGAAAGGAATGTAAACAGATGGGAAAAACACACAGAATAGAGGCGACATGAACGCGTAAATACACTCATGAATGGCAGAATCGTGAAAGTGAATACGAACGCAAGGGCAGGCTGTACCTTTCTCAATGTAATTGTGAATGTCCGCGTTGTCCACCCCGCGCACGAACACCTCCCAGTCGTGCGTATACCCCTCGGGAGTGGTGCGCATACGTAACATCGACGTGTGTCCACACTCCAGAGTGATGCGCACCGCCATCCTCTTGGCCGAAATTGGTTCCTCCTCTATCTCGCCGCCTTCGCGGAAGACAAGCGCCGCACGGCGGGTGAGCTCGGTTCCGCGGATGCACGTGAATCGCGGTTACATCGTCGCCGTAGAAGCCGCCGCCGTCGCCGAGTCCGCGGTACGCACGGTGGAAAGTGTTCCGGTTCTTCGCGAGGCTTCTAGAATCCGCGCGTGCGAGCGGGCGTCATCGCGGGAACGGCGGCGCGTGCTACGTGCAAGCGCGGACGACAACGCGCAGCGTTTCCTGGTCATGAAGACGCGGCGGGACGAGACGCGTGTGCTCGCATCCACCTACGGGGGGCAGGCGCGCTTCCACGGGTTCCTGTGTGAAAATGCTCGCCGCCGCGGCGGGTAGACGACGCTCCAACACGCACGTGACTCACCAAGAGGTGCACCGCACAGCGGAGGCCGCTCCAAATCGCCGCTCCGTCGCGCCGAGGGCCCGTAACTCGGATTATCAACAGGTAAGACGTGCGCGAGCGAGGCTCGTCGGCATCGTAGACGATCCTCGATCCTCCCGTATGATCCGCGTAAACCTTGCGCACCCCGCTCGCCCTTCCGCCGTATATTCGAGAAAAATTGTAAGCGCCATCTGCCTATGCGCCGACCGGCTCGCCGAAAGCCCCGTCCGCATTTAGTCCCCCGGCCTTACGATAGACGATTTAAGCCCCTGAGCTTCAAGAAATTGGCCAATCACGGTCGAGCATGACTAGAATACGCGACTGTGATTAGTCAATTTCTTAAGGCTCGGTCCCAGTCCACAATAGAGATTTAAACGTGTAGCCAATTAACGTGCAGCTTTTATGGAATAGCTGCACGTTGATTGGCTACAGATTTCTCGAACTTGGACCAAGTTCTAGCATCGTGGAGTAAGCAAGTCTAGTAGATATTGAAGTCTGTGGACGAGGTTAACGTTGAAGAGGCATTTACGATCTTTCTCAATCGCATGGATCTGTATATTCGCGAACGGAGGTGCAGCGAGAGGTTTGTTTTGGTTTCTTTGCGATTGAACTTTTCCTACAGTTCGTTCTTCCTCGCGTGTTCTATCTAATCATGTAACTGCTTTATTTTAGGAAACACCGAACAATCAACGAGACACCTGACACAATTTCGGCCGACAACTGCCAGAAATGTTATCTGCAATCGTGAAGGAACACCAGGGCAAGCAAGCGGCGAGAAAAGAAAGGCAAGGTAAGAATTAAATAAGTGTAAATTATTTATTTCAATTGCGTTTAACGTCCACTTCTGCCAATGATTAACTTTGATCTCGGTTTAACTCGCTTCTTATCTTTTTGTAGTTCTAAGAATTAGAAAAATAAACTAAAGTCAATCTACGTTGACAGTTATGGCGAGTCTTAAAGTAAATTTAACCCATTTAACAGAGCAAAAGCGAAAAGATGCCGTTCAGGCTGCGAGCAACTTGACGCAAGCCCTCGTTGATCACTTGAATGTCGGGTAGGTAAAATTTTCGTTTACCATTTAGAATTTGTATACACGTGTATACACTGCGAGTACGTAAGACTCAAATATTGTCAATATTGTTACAGCGTGGCCCAAGCGTACCTGAATCAGAAGAAACTGGACGCGGAAGCCAAGCAGCTGCAGCACAGCGCAACCAATTTTGCCAAGCAGACGCAATTGTGGCTGAACCTGGTGGAGTCCTTCTCGAGCTCCTTAAAAGAGATCGGCGACGCAGAAAACTGGGCGCGTAGCATAGAAGGGGACATGAGGACAATAGCGACCGCTTTGGAATATTCATACAAAGGTACGGGGTCCGATAAGGTGCCGTTCACAACTTGTACCTTTGTGCGACAAAGCGTGTGTAATATTTACCGCGTGTGTTTGTTTCAGCCACACAAGAGAATCAAAGTGTCGGTAATGTCTGAGAGCCACCACGGTGCGGAACATCGTTTCTTCTTGCGAGCATAATCTTGTCGCTACGTGCAATGTGAAGATTCCTTTTAATAATTTCGTGATGCAGAAAAGTCTGTTAAGATATAGTGCTTGCGCAATTTGAGTTAAGAAGAAAAGCCTTTGTACATAAGTTTTCATAGAGTTAAGTGTATGAATCAACGTATCGTTTTAATTAAAAAGATGTATCGAACTGTTAGTACAAAAGATAGGCATGTTTCTGGGTGCACGATTGTCTCTTCGATTTCATTTGTCCTGTATTTCATGTAATGAACCGTCACTTTCACGAGGTTCCCAATCTGCAAAACTCGTAAGGCGAAGATCCATCTTGCAGCTAGAAACAGATATATTAATTTAATAATTTTCATGTTGGATATTAAAGATTCATTAATGTAGAGTAATATTTATCCGATACCAAGGTAATTCAAGAGCACTCCTTGACATAAAAAATATTACCTAGCAGGTCTGCTTTCAGCAGATAACGAGTCCAATCCGGTAGCTTTAACGCTCAGTTAATAAAGCGCGTAGAAACATTTGTCGATACTGGTTACTTGATTGCGTTTGTGACACAAATACTTCTTCCCTATACCTATTGGGTATAGTTTCTCTACGTTCGTTTCGGTTGTCTATCCAGGACTGAGGAACGACGTCTATGCAACACCATTGCGATGCGTCGGCTACAGTAGTAGCTGCTTTATACAGATTAGGACAGTAAACTATCCCCAGTCCAAACGCTGAGTCTTGGTCCTCAAAGTTTCCATAAGAAAACAGCTCACCTGCTTTCTCAATTTGCATTGGCAAAGCGCATCTCTGCATAGTTACTTGGCTGATGGATCCTTCATCGGTCATGGTTGTAATATCAAGGGTGCTTATCTTAAAAGTTTTTGTTCGAGCCAGAATTTCCGACACTTTACACATAAAATTAATATTAAATCCTGTTGTTGGTATTGTTTCGGGAAAATCGTCTGCAGTGATTCCTACATGAAATGCAAGATTCTTGGCCTTGCTGATTCGATTGTTGAGTGGCTTGTAGCCCAATAGGTTTGAGTTGGGTATACGAACGATCTCATAGGCTGCTAAGCTCGATGGATATGGTCCGGGTGGCCATTCACTCACGGTATGTTGTACGGCTTCAGAAAGTACGCCCATACAAGGTAATTCTTCATAAAGATTATGGGTGTCTTTATCAATTGGCCCATAGAATCCCCCTCTTCCTTTAACGACGCCAGTTGGTAGTGAAGGAAAACTCGGTCTTAAATGTTCCCTCGTCATGGTCTGAATTTTCCCAAAGAGTCTGAGTTGAATAAGAATTGGCTCCGGAATCGAAAATTGGGTATTCTTAATTAGGCCAAAAAGTTCCTCCTCCTCGACGGTGAGCACTTCGTAGTTGAAGTGTTTAAGAGACGTGATCCTGCACCAAAGAAGAGCTGTGGCGTAGTAATCGAGATATTCAGGCAAAATTAATTTCTGAATATTGTAGTCATGAGTGACCAACATTCTGTAAGTTAGCCTTGTGATCTCGATTAATGTTGGGGCGCTAGGGCTTATCTGGGTGTCGAGGTTTACTTCCCTAACGTTCATACCTCGTGCAAGGACAATATTCTTAGCAGGATCGTCAGCAGATAATTGCATCTGACCTTCATCTGATGAATTTGTTGATTTATATAGTGTCCTTGAACGCATCATTTTCCGCGTGTACGGCTGCTGTTGTTGTTAAAGTCCTGAGTTAGCCCAGCAAACACAAAGCAAGTTGTTGAGTAGGAAATTTTAACTTACAGTTAGGGCCGGGGCACACAAATGGCCTTAAGCAATAAGACGTAAGCAGTAAACGAATTGACCAATCAGGGCCGAGCACACAAATGGCCTTAAGCAATAAGACGTAAGCAGTAAACGAATTGACCAATCAGGGCCGGGGCACACAAATGGCCTTAAGCAATAAGACGTAAGCAGTAAACGAATTGACCAATCATAGTCGAGAATTATGGCAGCCATATTATATATTCTTGACTATGATTGGTCAATTCGTTTACTTTGTCCTTGGGGTGGCTAAGCTTGAATGACGTGGGGATCAGCAATAACAAAGATATTTCTGAAATTAAAATACTTGGAATTATATGATTTATTTCACTTCCCTATAATTGTATCTAATTACATTCCATAATTTTCCCGATTTTTAACAATGTAAATTTTTGTGATTTAAAATCCTGAACTAAGAAAATTTTACGACTTGTCATTTGTGTGTATTTATTATAACAATATGATGAGTGAACAGCTCCTTCGTTGGACATTGGCTGCGTTCAGCAGAAAAAGCTGCTCTGCAACTGTTGTAAAATTCGTGAATCTGATTGGCGTATTCTCTTAACCTTGAGTGAATTTAAGAACGTATACGCCAATCAGATTCACGAATTTGACAACAATTGCGAGGCAGCTTTTGTTGCTGAAAGTAGCCATTTTGAACGATGCGATCGTGGCCATTGGAAACGGCTCCTAACGTTGGGGTATTTAATTTTCTTTGTAGCGACCGCCATCTCGGAGAGTCGCGCGATATCCCGTGCTTCGTGGCCGTGCGTGCTTCACACGCCATTTTGGAAGAGGAGACTCGTCTCGAGGTAGTTGACGTTCCTGGATTTTGTCGCATTTCGGGGTCGCGCGTTCCTTGGAGTGAGGTAGCACGTCAAGTATGGGCGAGGACTTCAACGGAGGTGAGCGATTCGACGGGCTGGCGCGTCCCGCCGTCGGACGCGCCGACGCGATCCAACTTCCCGCGTTGTTAACCGACCGATCTGTTTGCGATACGTAATGGCTGGGACACAAGCTGGTAAACAGTCCCAACGATTGATCCTTGAGACGGGACGTGCGTTGTTTGGACGCCCAGATCCGTTTAAATTCCCCTCGCGCGCCTGCGTCACGGGGAATTGGCGTGACTCGAGGTGTCCGCGTTCGGACAAGTATATTAGCGCCGACTGACAATACATTATCCGCCAACTTCACTGAACATTACTGAAACACTGCCCTCATTTCGTTGTAAAACCTAGCCATGTGTGCACAAATAAGTTGCAAGTGAATTTAACTACCGTATCTACTGTTATGTAATTCGATGACGCTACGTTCTGACAATTTTTTTTTCATTCCCACGTAGATCGCGATAGGCAGGATCGGGACAAGGACAGGGATCGAGACAGGGATCGCGACAGGCGGCACCGATCGCGCAGTCGAGATCGCAGAAAGCGCTCCCGTTCTCGCTCGAAAGACCGCAGGGACAGGAAGAGGAGTAACTCGCCGAAGAAGAGTCGCAGCTCCAGGAGAAGAAAACCGTCCCTGTATTGGGACGTGCCGCCGCCCGGCTTCGAACACATCACCCCTTTGCAGGCAAGACTAGCTAATCCGTCTTCTCGGATCCTGTCCTCGCTCTTACTTCTCGCATTGTGTGTCTATGTATACGTTTTCGTGTGTGCAGTACAAGGCTATGCAAGCGGCTGGCCAGATACCTGCCAATATTGTAGCAGATACGCCTCAGGCGGCCGTGCCGGTGGTTGGTAGCACGATCACTCGTCAAGCGAGGAGACTCTACGTAGGGAACATTCCATTCGGCGTCACCGAGGAGGAGATGATGGAGTTCTTCAATCAACAGATGCATCTCTCCGGGCTTGCGCAAGCTGCTGGAAATCCAGTATTGGCGTGTCAAATTAATTTAGACAAAAATTTCGCATTTTTGGAGGTATAACTTATCACGTGCACGTATATACATTTTTTTTTCTTATACGTCAGGCAAAAATGTGTACCACGTATTTTCGGCGAGTTTCAATTAGTCGTCGGCCGATCAGTAATTCAAGTACCCGCCGTCGACAACTTTCTTACTCGTTTTCCGTTTGAAACGCAGTTCCGATCGATAGACGAAACCACGCAGGCAATGGCATTCGATGGCATAAATTTCAAAGGGCAAAGTCTGAAGATAAGAAGGCCACATGATTATCAACCGATGCCGGGAATGACCGATAATCCAAGCATGAACGTGCCAGGTACGGTTCCTGGTATGTTTTAAACATACATTTTCTTACATTTAGTCGGTCGTGTGACACGTTTGGCGAATAATTTGCGCTTGATTTTAATTATGCGTGTATCTCTTTTTAGATTCGCCGCACAAGATCTTCATTGGCGGTTTACCAAATTATTTGAATGAGGAACAGGTATGCCGGCAAATCCGTGGAACAATTTTGTTTATTGCACACCTTGGATGCAATTGTTCGCCATTGAGGCCCATTCCGATCGGTCGCAATTAATCTGAATTGCATCGCTAATGGCTGGCGGCATAAGCTTGTATCGAGAGAATCGGCCTCAGTGATCGACGAAGAATCGCATCGCGATGTCGCAACGACACAGAATTAGCATTGGAACGCGCGCATGCTAATCCTGTTGCGTTGCAAGTTACCCTCAAAGGACTAAATTATAATATAGGTATTTAGCTATTTAGCGGTGAGTGCACTCACATAAGCACAAGCGACCGAGAACCCCCCCCAAGTCTTACTCAAGGTCAACAGAGGTATGTATGCGTTTCCATCAAGATTTCGGCGTCGATTAGGCTCCTCATTTAGGTAGAGGTGCGTTACTCGGCTTCGCTCTCATTTTTGTGTCTGTCTTCATATCGGACGATCCGCATCTTGGTTTTCCTGTGGAATTCTCCTATCATTCCTTGTATCTCGTCGTCTCTCCATTGTGGCATATTTAGTTTAGGGAGCATTAGCGACGTTACAGCATTTAGGTGGGGTATGCAGTCGCGTCAACGGTTATCCTCCTTTCTCTTTTTCTCTCTTTCTCTCTCTCTCTACCTCTCTCTCTCTCTCTTACAGCCTTTCTAGGCACACCGCGGACCCAGTCCATCACGAGGAGATACGAGTCTCTCAAATCTAGGCAGTCTTTTTTTTAGGAAAGCCAACAGGGAAGGGGGAGGGGGGAAAAGAGTTTGTTCCGACTACGTTCCGAAGTAAACCGGTCGAAGGAAATAGACGATCATTCGCGTTTTCAATCTACCTGAAATGCAAAAATTAATAAAACGGAGATACGTGCGATCGATATTGAATAAAGCTCCTTAAAGCTGTTTACGACTTCTATTTCCAATTTGAAATGCTTTTACAGAGCCGTCCACTTTCGTGCAGCAATGATACATGTTGCAAAGAAGGATATTTTTTAGGTCTGCAAGAAAAGCATAAGATCAACGTTTTTACATCTAGCAGAAGTTTTTTTTTTTCCTTTTCTTTCTTTTTTTGGGATTACAGGGTCAACACATAATTTTATGTGCATCTGGTAACAGCTCCAAGTTCTCCGGTATACATTCTTTTCAGGAATACCTTTTCCTTTTTGCAGCTGTTCTTTTTACAGGCTTTTCAGGCTTTACCGCACGGTCTCGTCTTGTGCCTCGTTACGTTTTCAGGTTTCCGCGAACGAATGATCTTCGAATATATCAGTGCGTTGAAAACTTGAAACAAAAAACCGACAATGCAAAGAAAAACGGAAAATAGTAAAAAAAAAAGAAACGGCAATTTCATTGGATATTAAGAAGTTAAATGTAACGGTATTCTTACAAATGGACTATGTTTAAATTCGTAAGAGAGTTAAAAAAAAAAGAATATGAACGTCTCGTTATTATGTAGTAAACTGTGGACTGATACCAGTACCCTTTCTCCCCATTTCTTAGCTTAGGGTCGTGCCGATCAAAAGCATTCGCTTACCACTACCACTACTTCTACCACTACTTCTACCACTACTACTACTACCGAACATGACAAAATACCACACTGCCTGGAGAGAGGCTAAGCCCAGTCCCTCGAGGCAAGTACTTAAAACCATTCTCATTGCCTTCGTACATTGGGTTTATGCGACAATTTTGTAGCCCCCCTTCCTCGATGTGTTCTCGGTTCTCCTGTGCCAATGGTGCGTTCTCTGATTCAATAGTTTCACATCAATAAAAGCATGTTGCTTAATCAACTAAGTCCGTGCCGAGTAATTGGTAAACTATCGTAGAATCGGACTCGCAACGGAAAGAAATTCTTTAACGAGAGCAACATGCTGTTATCTAAAGCCTTGAGTTTTCAGTTTCTCAGCCCGTGGATATGTAAGTAAATTTAATACATACATTATATTTAATTGAAATCGAAGACGAAGAGATCGGTGTTCGAAATAGCGAACGATGGGAGGAATGACCCGCCGGAGCGCAATTAAGCGGAAATGTTCCGTCGGACGTGAGGGTGTGTAAGGAGTTACCAACGAGGAAAGAGTGATTAAGATACGCAAGCATATCTATGCATTTATATTTCGTTTCTCTCACATTTAGACGATGCAACCTCTTCTCTTCTTTTGTGTGTTTAGAGAACTAGTTAGATTTCCTCTCCAATTGGAGCAATGTTTTCTTTCTCTTTAAAGAAAAACTAGTGAAAAAATTAATTTTTAAAAATCCTCTTGATGTAACTTGATAAAATAAAATTCAGCCGATTGCCAAATTCGATTGATTTACCTAACTTTACGTGTGAAAAAACTTTTAAGTCTCTTACACAGACTTCACATCTGATATAATCTTCATTTAATTGCAAAAAGTTTTACGATTGATTAATATCACAGAGTTGCATAGTCTAGAATTTTATAGATTCGAAGAATATGTTGCGCGAGTGAAGAAGTAACATTTTTCACGATGACACAGGTGAAGGAGCTGTTGATGAGCTTTGGACAACTGAGGGCGTTCAATCTAGTAAAGGATTCGGCAACCGGTCTCTCCAAGGGATATGCATTCTGTGAATATGTAGACGTTTCGATGACGGACCAGGCAATCGCCGGATTAAACGGGATGCAGCTGGGAGACAAGAAATTAATTGTACAGCGCGCTAGCGTGGGTGCTAAGAATCCTATGATAGGCACACAAGCTCCAGTACAAATTCAAGTGCCTGGCCTGTCAATGGTTGGCACGAGCGGACCCGCGACTGAAGTAAGAGAAATTCTCAAACGAATTGTTCTAGGAAAGTGATGATCTGGCGATTGGATTTATAATTGTACAATATCTTTCAGGTGCTTTGTTTGCTCAATATGGTCACGCCGGAAGAACTAATGGAGGAAGAAGAGTACGAGGATATTCTCGAGGATATTAAAGAAGAGTGCAACAAATACGGTGTGGTGCGATCCGTGGAAATTCCTAGACCCATCGAAGGTGTTGACGTCCCTGGATGCGGCAAGGTACATTTAATATCTATATAAAGCTCCTACATATTATTTACTACTTTTTTATTCTGTTACAGGTATTTGTAGAATTCAATAGCGTCATTGATTGTCAAAAGGCGCAACAGACTCTCACGGGCCGAAAGTTTAACAATCGCGTGGTAGTCACATCGTACTTCGATCCCGACAAGTATCACCGTAGAGAATTCTAAGCTGTAGACTTCTTTTTTCATACCATTTAATAATTATATATATATATATAAATATATATATATAAAATGCAATGTATATGTGAGTTTGAATAATCTCAACTTACTCCAAACGAGAATTACACATTTACCAATGAATAATTGACAGTAAAATAATTGCCGCGTTTCGCGACAAGCGATTAGAATTGTAAGTATAATGCGACACTGACAAAAACTACGATACGCAATTGTGAAACCGCGTTTTCTTCGCGCTTTAAAAACACGATATGAACATATGTAATAATGATTTTAAAAAATACATTTGGTCGTTAATATAAGATGAACAATGACCGATAATTTGATATTACCTATTAGGAAATTAAGAGAATAGATAGACGATTCTGCCACGACAGAATAAAGCTGCAAGATAATAAAGCGAGAACATCACTGTGTTTCTGTAAAATGTCTTTTTTTTTCTCAAATTTTACATGTATAATTTATTGTGTTAATTATTCAATGTAGTGATAGATAATCATATTAGGGATTCTGTGAGAAACTAATTTAACTTTCGAGCTGTAACGCAGGTTGATAGGAATGACTCTCCCCAGTGTCCGCGGCATCCACCACGAATTTTTGTAGTATCGCGTAAAATCCGCCGCCGAGCAACAGCATGCCGATACCCGCTAAGAGTACTATGGACCAGGCTGGTATAGCCGTACCTCCTAAAAATCATTCAACGAACATTCAGATCTTTGACTTTGATTATATGCCACATTCTACTCTCATTACTATTATAGACTTACTGTAATAACGTCTGGTTATTGTTTTGCGGCCTCTCAAAATTTTGCGCCTTGCTTCGACTTCCTCCAGGAATATCCCCATTAAAACTGTTGGGTGTGGTTTTCAAAAGCAAAAGAAAGATTAATTCCATTTCATGAAATCTACGAGTTACGTGCTGTACCGCGTGTAACATTACGATAAGAATAGTAATTGTGATATCGCACTGCGCGTTTGGCGAAAATTATTAAATTCTCGTTTAGGATGATAATGTTACGAATGATGAACGATATCGTCGTGATAAAATTCAATAATTATTTCTAATCGATTAGCAACGATTTCTATGGTGCAATGACGTGAAAAGTGGAACGCCTTCTACCATCGACTAGAGATGCGCGTTTATCGACACTTTTCTTTCTTCGTAAAATCAAAGTTTTACTTACGCAAGCCTATAGTTAAATAGCACACAAACTTTTTCGAATACATGATTTTTTTCGCCTGGAAAGGGTCGATAGACGAGAAACGAAAGAACAGAATTGAATCACTTCGTAGTTAACTGTACGTCTACGGTGTGCGTACTGAATCACACCTTTGATAAGAGATAACCGAGTGTACGGCTTATCTATTTTAAGATAGCGAGATACTCTTTCATTTACGAATATTCCCGTTCCTACACTTGACGGCGTTGCACATTGTAATTTAAGAGATCGGATCCATTCATCAATCTGTCGTTGCATTTATTAACGCATCAATTGTTATACAAAACTTCAACGTTTTCATGACTGGGACATATAATCCTACTTACATTCTCTGCCTCTCTGGTTCCTTGGGATGATCTTGATACAAAAGATTATAATAAAAAATAATTCGGTCATGAAAAGGTTAATGATTTTTACTTTAATTAATAACTTTTCTAAAAGAACGAAAATTCTATCTAATGATCTATCATAGATGTATCATAGCTTAAGATCTTTAATTGGTACTGTATTGTACACACACACAATTGATACGAATAACATGTTTTTTTTTAATTACTGTGTTACCGAAATAAAAATGAAATAGGGATCAAGGATTTGTAGTGGTACAATGTCGGTATTCGATAAAGGATACAGAACACCTCTAAATCCCTTTATCCTTTTATGATCTTTTATTGATCCAAATTAAGGAAACTGAATTACATCTATAGCAAATTATTACAGAATTATTGCAATTACCGTTAGATCGATGCCAATGCAGTAGGTCGATGAAATAACGAGTTGAGCTTAACGAATGTGTGTATGTATGTGTGCCTTCAAACGGAAATTTACAAAACATGTAAAAGGATAAGTTCGCTAAGAAAAAAACTCTTGAATATGATTTAACATGTGCTGGAGATCTTATGACGAATGCAATGAACGAAAGAGCAATGGACAGAGGGAAGAACACAGTCTCGAATAAATAAATAAAGAAAGAAATTAAATAAGCTAAATAAAAATCCGCCATGCACACTTTACGTTAGACTATAATACAGTTTTTCTGCGTGTTTTACGCTTGGTAGTTAGCATCGATGTGATTGTAGTAATTCGCACTTTCAGGCGGCCCCTTCGCTAGCAAGTTTCTCTCTTTCTTTTTTTTCCCCCTTTGAAGAAGTGAGACATGAAATATAACTTCGAACGTGACTCATGGGTATAATTACCATAATTAATATAAATGTAACTGGCACATATACAAGGCATTCCAAATTCCATTTCGCGGCGACTTCACAGCGCGCCGTTTTCCACCCCTATCAGCATATACTCATTTACAATAACAAGGAGCAAAGACACATTTTTTCCGTGTCCTTTCTAATAATTTCATTCGTCAGCACCGTAAATTTCTCGAGGACCATTTCTTTCTGTCTTTCACTAAGCGAGAACGCGTAGGAAATTCAACGTTTTGAAAGATAAATGGTAATCGATTGGACGATAGCAAGAATTTATTCTTCTGCGTCTGATAGATTATATGTATATATAAAAAAAGAAGAAAAAGGAAGAGATAAAAGGAAAATAATTTCCGACGAATATTTAAATATCACATCACAGTGTTTCGCGCGACTCTAAATTAAATCAAGCCGGGAGCTTCTTTCCTATTCTTTTGATCTTACTATCTCTTTATATGTGCATCATGACAAACATGGTTCTGCAAGAAATAGCTTCCTTGCTCAGGATACGTTACGCACGAATTGCTAAACGAAATAAATAAATAATACTGTATACATATATACCATTTGCGGTGCACCTTAACTATTAACATATTAAGTAATAATAATTGTTAGAATGATGTACTCAAATAAAATCTTCAGATCAGTCCTTTCTCGCAATACAATTATTCAAAAGGATTCAATTATCCAAACGATCAATTCATTCACGATTTCCAATAACTGTACTTTTGAATACAACATATACAGAGTGTGATTAGTCATACATCTCGCCTAACTGGGAAGTCACACTGGAGCACTTATAACGCAAGAGACAAAACTTGGACAGTTTATCTTTTGATAGATGTACCACTGATCATTTTCTTCTTTTCTTTTAAGTTCACCCTTTCTGTGGGAACGCCTTTCAACCGTCAGCTTATATCAGCGCTATGTTTCTAAAAATTCCTTGAAATTCATGCTTAATCTCGATTAAACACTGAAATTCAACACTAGGCGCTTCAAAACTTCTCCTCATGCGCTGAATTTTAGAAATCTCCCTTAACGGGAAAATATACGTGACGAGGGCCGGGATCGAACCGAGGACCCTACCATTACTGCTCGCTCGTGTTAGCACAGAGCAACACGTCATCCCTGCCACTGATCACTCTGTTACATTCGAAAATAAAATTATTTGAAACCGGATGAATCATTTTGAATAACTCTGTACTCCAAAAGATAATAGGAATGAAAGGAGAATCTATCTCCGACGAATGTATGGAAAATCTCGGCAAAAGAATATTGACTATCGGCAAAAGAATATAACAGTTAAGGATAATGCATTTCTTTCTAAATATATCTATCCTTTACAAGCTATGCTAAGAAAATTCATAATACCAGACATAGCCATCGCGGAGATCTTGTCTAAAATTTTTTTTTTCCTAAGCTACGCCTTACGCGCCTGTGATTAAAGTCACTCATAGCTTCGCTTGAGAATACTCGTAATACTTGGATGGCATTATAACTTCAACGTACCTCGACAGGATTAACTGACCTATTTATGATTCCGATAATAATCATTGCAGTGAAAATGCGCTGCGCGAAATTAACGTATTATTATTACCCTTCAAAATCCTATTGCATTTTCTCATTAATTCAAGATATTGTACTGGTCTTCATCTTCCATATCGTTTCTCTTCTGCTTTCTCTTACAGAAATGTAGATTTCGCTCATATTTTTGCACCACATACATATATACACGTACACACGCATAATATGTATATGCATATACGTATATATGTTGTGTGTCTTTATTTGCTAAATTGAGACGCTATTTACCTCTCTTATTTGTCACAGATAATACCTTCGCTTCAAAAGTACGGAACAACGTGCGAGAACAGTGTATTATATAAGTTTCTTCTCTTCCTCTTTACGTTGATGCCAGATATTAATGTGAACTTTACAGTTTGTCTAGATAGTATACGAAATCGTGTATGTGCGTGTACGTGTGCGTGTACGCATGTTGCATCTCTTTATAACTATAATCGCGCTATGGTTACTCTTGTGGTTATTCTCAAGACATCGCTCTAGCTATGGCGCAACAACTGTCGTGGAGCATTTGTTAGGAATTATCGCATCGTTATTAAATACGATCAACAGATACATATCGCAAGTGTGTATGTCTGTGTCTGTGTATGTATGACTTGAAATTCCGTACGCAATAAGTTATTCGGGTGTATATATATAAAATATATATAGAATATATACATATATGTGTATATGTATATATATGTATATATAATATATATACGCACATCCCAATAAATATAATTATATCTCTTTTATTACCGAATAGCCATGTAATTTAAACGAGCTAAGCATTTCGACTTATGCTTACTTTTACCTTGTGGCTAGCTGGTGTTTTGGCTTGAAGTATTCTTTTTCGTTTCGCTCGGCGCCGCGGCGAAAGTATTCGTTGAGGAAGATAACGTCGCTTCCTTGAACTGATTGCCATTTAAGGTTGGCTTTTTGCTATTTTCTTGCGTATTGCTGCTGCTATTGCTGTTACTACCCCCGTTACATTCCACTGCTTTACTGTCTACAGACTCAGACGTTCCTTGGCACTGATTTGTGATATTGTTCATTAACTCTGTGGTATTTTCATTATCCTGCCAGTCATCCGACCTCTGTATTATACTTTTTTTAATGAGCACAGCTTTGAACGTTGCTAGAGTCTTGCGGAGAGTTATGCAGAAGCCTCGAGATGCTGGGATGAGCGGGAATTCGGGCAATATTTTCTCGTCTGTAAATAGAATGTGAGTAAAATTTATTATCTTAATTCCATGTAAAATAAAAGTCCATGTAACAGAACACATTGTATACCGATATCTGCAATCTCTTTAAACGTGGTGGGAGTAACTGGAGACAGCGGATGCTGATCGTTATGCTTCTCCGATATCTCCATCCATAACTCCAATCTCTGCAGCATCTTCTCGGCGTGGTTTTTGAAGTGCGCGATGATTACATCCTTAAATACAGACGGTGGATGTAGCAACAATTTAGTCTGCGCCTGTACCAGCTTTAGCACCACCATCTCGTTGTACATTCTCGAATTCTCGCGCCCTTGCTGCGAGCCCTTCTGTTTCTCGAATCCGGCTTCGTTAAAGTACGGCTCGCTCACGAGGATCAGACCCTGTATCGAGACTATCACTTGTAACAGAGTTGACGAGCTTGTCCACACCTCCGTGCCACGCCCGGACCAGGTACCCAGCAGACTCACGCACACTTTCCCGTCCTCGTACAGGTTTGGATTCAGCCGATCGCTGCAATAGGAGATGTAATGACAGAGGGGCGGTGCGGCCGGATAGTCGGCAGACAATTGGAAATCAAAAAGGAAGAGGCCGTCTTCGTAAGGCGTCTTCTCGGGGCCACGGAACATGACGGAATACAAATCAATACGGTCCTCAAATCCGTTGACCCAGACACCAGGCGGGAGCGAGCTCTTCAGCAGCTTCAATTCTTTGGAGACCGTGCGGAAAAAGTTGGTCAGATCGGTGGGCTGGAACATGGTCAGCTTGAACTTGTGACTGTCAGGCGCGGTCTCTTCAATGGAGAAGCCCTCGCCTTCTGGGTAAACCGTCGGTGGAATCTCAACGGAACAGGACGGATCCGCTATCGTTTCCACATGTTCTTCCTCCTCGCCCTTTTGCTTTTTCCGCGGAGACGAGGTCTTTTCTGCGTCCGATAGTGACATTTTGCCCAAACCGAATCTCTTCGATACCTCGGCATGCGCCAAGACGAGTTGCGCTTTTATCAGATTGCATAGTTTGACGCACACTTGTGACGTTCCGATGCTCTGAGAAGTCAACAGACTTGTCGGCACTTTTTTCACTTTGCTCGCTTCTGTCTTCTCGGGTGTGGTCATACCATTTATCGTGGACGAGCACTCTGGCACATTATTGACATCCTCGCTTATGAGGAATTCCCCGCTGGACTCGCTCGAACCAGACTCCTTCTTCGAGTTTTCCGCTGAATATAATCCGGAATCCTCGGGATTGGGATTGGGACATATGAACAGCCGATTAACGTTCTCGTCGTCGCTCTGTTTTTTGGCATTGCTCTCAATATTTGGAGTATCGTTCTCCGACTCGCTGATAATCGTGGCAAATTGCTTCTCCGCTACATTAATAGCACACGAGTCATCGCCATTGCTCGATTTTTTCGAATCATCTTTATCTATAGATTCCTCCGGATATTCAGATTTAGGCGTGAAGAGCCTTGTGACTTGATCCGCCATGCGCTGCGCGACATTTGCCCTGCCGCGTTCTCTCACTCGCTCGAGAAGTCCCTGGAAATGGCATTCGTGGAAGAATGTGGTACCCATAAGTTTATCCATGTAACGGCAATCCTTGTAGACCTCGAGTAGTTTCCGCATCACCTCTGTTGTCTGCAGGGACGGGTTTTGTGTGAAAATCTCTTCCAATCTTGACATTGCGATTCTGGCTTTCTCGATGTGCGCCGCTAATTTCGGTTTTATGTTATCCAATTCTGTCTGCTCGGTACCATCGTTATCGGCAATGAAGCAATCTTCCAATTCCGTCTCCCACGACGAATCGGACGAAACATCGTCCCACAGTTCTCCCTCGTCGCTGTCATACTCGCCGACCTTGTAGAGATCCTGCGGCCAACACATGCTAACGTGATCGTCAATCCACCATACTTTCACTCGTCCCTCTGGATAATTGTCCAAAACTTGACCAGCGGTACACCCGGCATCCTCGCCCTCGAAATTTGCTATTCGGATCACCAAGGTGCCCGGTCTGTATTGAAAGTCTGGATGATCCTTCAAGTCGTATACGCTCACTTCACGTTCTTCCAGAAAGATCGGCCTAGGCAAGTAGCAAATTAAAAAATACATCCCATCATTTTTCGTTACATTTTATTTGTAATAATTTTATATTATGTTTAAATTTCAAGCTCCACAAACTTGGAGAAGATAGAACTCTTGTCTAGCACTTCCAGTTTTCTATTAACATGCACCTCGTATTTATGTAATGTTACACAGGTCAATAGAAAAATGTGAACGAGTTAAATTATTACCAAGTTCTACGGTAACGTATAAAAGATATCCAAGTGTTTTTACTTACTCTGGATTTTGACTAGAAGTATACGTGCGGAACCACTTTATCTTGGCAGTACGGCCTTGATGATCGACACTTTGTACAACGCCATACATTCTAGATTCTTCTTTCTGATCTACAACAAAGTCACCCGGGAAAAATTCCTTGTCGTCCAGGTGATGAATTGGATACAATTGCGTCGACGGTATGCCTAAAACAAAATAACTGACGTTTAGCGCCATTGGGACATTTCTTCAGCAATTGAAACTGTTTATCTCGTAATAAACGCTCGAATCAATAATTGTTTTATAACAAAATAAGATTTAATCAATGTATTCCGATACATCTAAACGAAGATATTTCGTATAGATGCACTTATGATAGACAACTCTCTCTTTCTCTAACAAATATATAAAATTATAATGATATCGATACCAAATTCTACTGAGCCGTCTTGCCACACCACATTCGCTTTCGTATTAGTGGACAACGTTTCTACGACTATCTTAGTCCCGGGAATTAATGGAACAGGCGGCACTTTCTTTTTCGCTTTTCGCAATTTCTTTTTCTTCAGCACTTTCGTCATCAATGCAGGACCCTTCTTTTTCTTTCCCACTGATGACATGCTGGAACAGCAGCTCGAAACCTACAAAGTGTACGTGTTTCTAGATCTTTCGTGTTCGTTTTTCAATAAAAAAAAAAGGAAGGATGAACAATTACCGAAGCAGAGTCACTCTGCGAACCCGTATCTTCCGTATCCCACTCGTCCGAGCTTTCGGCGTGTTGATTTTGGGGTGGCAGCAATAAAACGTTGCTGCTTACGGTATCTTGGGAACGAACGCTATTATTTTGACCGCTTTCCTCCGTCGGTTGCTGACCGAACGCTTTGTCCTTTTTCTGCTCCTTCTTCTTATCCTCCACCAACTTGGTCACCGTGATATTCAGACGCGTCTTCTTTGGGCTCTGCTTAGGAACTTGATAGATATCCCTCTGCTGTTTACGCCACTGCTCACGAGTAATAACGTTCTCGTTGCCCTTAATGACGTAGAAGTTACGGTTGCCGACCTGTACCATCGAGGGCTCGAATACGTTTAACAGTTTGAGTTTTTTCAGATCTTCACCCTCGACCACGAACTTTGGCTGAGCCTGATCGGACCAGGCACCGTCCTTGGAATACGCTCGACACTGCCAGTGCACGCCTATCCAATCGGTCTCCACCTTTTCCACGATCACTTTGGTTATTTTCTGTGGTTTCAATTTCCTCTTCGCCTTCATCTCCTTTGTACACTGAATCCACTGTGCTTCCTCCAGGCAGTGAACCGGCCCCCACAAGCTCTGGCCAGGATAGAATTCGGTCGGGTGCGGGAAATCGTTGTCCTAAAAGTCAACATCATTTGTTATTTGGATCCTGTACGGGCGACAAACTCGCTCGGTCTTACGCTATCTCGCGCCTCTTCCAGTTGTCCCAGCACGCAGGAATCCATCTCGTTTATGACGCAGTGAGATCCATCTGGCGTTACCAGCCACAACTTGAAGTGCGTCATTCTAATGCCACCGACCCACGAGTCCATACACACCGCCATATCTGTCGCAAATTCCTACAAATAACAGCTGTATGGTTCAGCGTGTAAACAACATACCACTATCTACCGTAGAGATACAAATATACCTGCAACGGTATCAAGTCTACGCTTTTGATATCCGTGAGAACCTGTTTGGTACCAATGACCTGTACACAGGCTGTCAGCTCCACGTCCCTGCAGTAGCCCCTTTGCGTATCCTTTCCCTTGATCATCCTACGCACCACGTCTCCAGGCATGAGCGTCCTGTCGGCCAGATGAACCTGGAAAAGCGAGACGTCGTGAAAATTCTCCATGCGCAACGCCGCTTAAACGTTGTTTGTTTGAAATTTTTATGTAACCAGAGGTCGAACAAATGATAATGAATAACCGTGCGGAAAAAACGACGTGTAACGACGTCGCAAAAGAGAGAACCGCGTAAATACCTTCTTGCAGTTGACCAACTCCTCGACACCGGACGGATGCCAGATCATGCGGATCTCGCCCTTCTTGCGCTTCGGCAGGTTCTCCTCGTTGTCGCTGCTCTCCTCGGACAGGTCCAGGTCGTCGTTCTCCATGACGATGCCGAAGACGATATTGCCCCGTTTGTCAATGCGATAAACGACATCCTCGTAGAAGTACTGATTCTCCGGCGCAACGTTCGCCGCGGCAGCCATCTTCCTACCCCAGCCTGGCGATGATCGCACTCGATCGCACTGCTCCAGAACTCGCTCTCGCGCTCGGTAGCCGTCGATGGCCGTGCCCGGCGCTCACCAGCGCTCACCAGCGCTCACCGGCGCTGCACCGTTATCCAAGAGGGTCGAAGCATGGCGTGAGGATACAAGGTGAAGCGATCCGGTGGATGCGCAGTGTCGACCAATCGGAAGTGACCGAGGCTACCGAATCGTCAAAATTGCCGACCTGCTTCGCGAAAAAGAGTGTGAAAATCGGACGGGTGTTCTTTTAAAGAAAGAAAAGGAGTAAAACTTTACTCATTTCCCAAAGATCTGGATTTAAAAAGTGGCTAGAGGCTTGCTAAAGAGATAGAGATGATGAGAAACAAATTGGCCACATAGGCCGGTATTCATAGTCCGTTCTTATATTTAAGATCATCTTAAGTTTACTCTTAATGTGCTTTCAACCAATCACAGAGCTGTATTAGCGCCTTAAGACAACACTTAAGATGATTTTGAAATAGAAACCGACATGATGAATACCGGCCACAGTACAATACTATAAGGTTTTTCTTTATTAATATTTTATCAACAGTTTATTATTTTCAATTTTGTTGATATATCCCGTCTATTAATACAACTCTTTTCATCTGGCAAAACTGTTTTTATTTTATTGAAACCAGTTCATTTTGAATTCCCGCCTTTATTTCTCGTCACTTCTGATTGGTTCTCCGTCCACACTACCGCCATTATGCGCTTCACCCTGTATCTTCACGCCATGGGTCGAACGTGGTCGAACGGTACCGAGCGTTGCCGAACCGAGCCGACGACGGCGAGGGCGACGACGACACGTTGACACGGGGGATCACGCGCAATCACATATGTCGCGCGTTACGACCGCATACTTTTGCATCTCGTGCATTCCGAGTCTCGAAACTCAAGGGGTCAATTAGGGGGGGGGGGGGAGGGGGGGACAGCGGAGACATCTCTGCGTAAAATTGTGAATTTAACACGATCGACTGTGAATGTACCACCCAATGTCATATGAGAAATTCGAATTACTCAATAATTCGGAAGAAAATTGTATCGTTACCAAATGCATCGAAAACCCTGCTGTTACAAATCTTCGTTTCCAGTAGTAAAGATACACATTGTAGTAAAAGTGTGTGCAACTCCGTGTTTCCCTGTTAGACCTTCAACTTGGTCCCGCTTTACAAATATGTATATGATAAATCACAGCACCGCATTTTTTAAGTTACAGATCATTGGAGCAAAGGTGCACCCTGATGAAAATAAAAATTGGAGCGTAAACCGAACGTAAGGGGAGAGTGAACACAAGCGTGAACGAAATGTGTAAGAAGCGTAAAAGAAGCGTTTGAGGTTTCTTTTGCGCTTCGCTGTTCCAAATTGCGCTTCCTACGCATTTCGTTCGCGCTTCCGTCACTCTCCCCTTACGTTCGATTTACGCTCCAAATTCTATTTTCACCAGGGTATAATATGTATGTATGTAAAAAAAGCGCGTCTGAGGTTCACGATGGAAATCGTGCGTTATTCCCAAGTTCGTTCAGTCGCGAGCAAAAGTAAATACACACCGCTGCACCCGTGTATATATTAATTTTAATTTTACATAATACCATTCACACATATATACATGTTTTCTTTATTGATATAATTTAAACGCGTGACTCCGATCCTGGGAATTTCGCGGCGCGAGGATTGGCGCGCCTGCATGACCGCTACTTGAAAGCAGTCAACGATCGCGCTGCATTGTGGCGATCGAATGGCCGCCTCGTCTGATGTCTGTCCGTTCTGTTCTTCTGCGATTAGTTTTACGTTATCCGTCGAACCTCGCGAGCGGTGTCTCCCGTCGAACGATCCGGTAAGCTGAACGGCGGTCCCGCGCGCGGACGGCGACGCTCCGGATAACCTATAGTCCGCGGGATTCGCCGAACGCGAGCGTGCCGTATCGAGGCGCACCTCGCGCGGTACGCCCGGTGCGGGATTTGCGCCCCTCGCCAAGTAACCAAACTCGCGGCGACGCGGGCCGCCGCCGAAATTCGCGAGCGCGAGTTCCCCGGGCACGTGTGCAGGGTGTGTCGAGCGAATCGTCCAGCTGGCGGCCGACAATTCTGTGTATATATATATATATGTGTGTATATATGTATAGTACGGTAGCTCGCCGAGAGATCCATTAACATGTGAGGTTCTAACGTCTCCCTCTATCACCTGTACGCCTCTTGTCACTTTTTGCACATACGACTGCCGGGGAATCGGACGGGCGCGAATAAATGCCCCGCGTGATCGATACATCCGCGAGGCTCCGCGATCGGGAAAGAGTTACTTGGCGCTCGGTTGCGCGGACCCGCGGATCCGGCGGCCGAGTGTAATTGCACGATTTTTTTTCCATCTCACGAGCTCGAGCTTCTCTCGCCGTCCCGATCATGATGTAAAAAGAAAGGTGTAACAACATCGTGTATGCGCAGTAGTCATGTGCATTTGGACCCAAATTTCATTGGCTCGCTCATCGTGCGCCGCCGCTATGCGCAATGATACACCTTTCTTGCAGTAGCTATGTGCATTTGGACCCAAATTTCATTGGCTCGCTCATCGTGCCGCCGCCGCTATGCGCAATGATACACCTTTCTTTTTACATCATGGTCCCGATAAGATTTTTTGTTTTATTACGCGTGGGTCTGCGTGGCTTGTTCTATTAGCACGTAGAAAAAACGTTCAACTTATATACATATATATATATATATGTGCGATAAATAGTAGTGACGCTACAAAAAATAGTATTGACGCTACAAAAAATGTAGCTTTTGGAGAATATTAGTCTCTGGATAGTTTAGTTTGCTGGTGTGAACTTGTCTAACGACTGTTGAGGAATTACGGCACGCCTCGCTGTAAAGAGATCAATATTTCTTTCTGTCGCTCATGTTCCGCAAGTATTTACCACAATCGGCTGTCGATACAATTAATAGCGGTTGAGGGGAATGTAACGAGGTGCAGTCCAAAGTGTGTAAGATACAGCTTTCGCCCGTATCTGAAATCGGCGCTAGGATGTTTCATTATCTCGTTCAGTTTTGTGTTTTCAGCGTCAGCGTACTTGAACTTTATTATCAACATCTCTGAGATACCAAGCGAAAACAATATTGAGCAAGTCTAGTTACATAATCGTACAGTCCTGTAACGAAGTTGGTGCAAGACGTAAAGATTGAGCAGAGAAAGTTAGCCCATTGTTTTTTAACACGTCGCACTGTCGCATAGAAAGTGCGACTGAAATAGATTAATTTGCAAATAAATGCGTCTTTCTACTGTAAACTTGCATAACGCGTTACTTCGTCGTAATGAAATGCTGAGTAATTTTATTGCAATTTGATCCTCGGTGTCTAATGCTGCTATTCCGTTCGAATCATTGCAGATTTAGTAATATAGCAACGATATTATCATTAACAAACGTAACATTGAGATGGAAAAAAGTGCCGATGGATTGCTGTTTCGCGCTGAGAGAAATAATGGCGCCGACGAAGTAGCCATGGACATTGTCGACGAGAGAGTAGCTATCTTAGACGCAGGTGCACAATATGGAAAGGTGATAGACCGGAAGATACGAGAATTGAACGTTCATAGCGAAATTCTGGCGCTCGATACACCAGCGTTCACTCTTCAGGAGAAAGGATACAAGTAAGATGTTTGATATTACCGGCCTGTAAATTTATCCATAAACCGGCGTCGTAGTTGCACGTGTGCGAATATGAATTGCCAATCTATCTCTTTTTCAGGGCTATTATAATTTCTGGCGGTCCTAGTTCAGTATATGCGGAAGATGCACCTAGATACGACGCCGATATCTTCCGAATAGGAATTCCTGTATTAGGTATTTGTTACGGGATGCAGATGATGAATAAGGAGTTCGGCGGTAGCGTAACCAGAAGGGAGAGTCGAGAGGACGGCCAGTTTCCCATTGAAGTTGATACCAAGTGCCTGTTATTTAAGTACGTAAATTGCAGCGGCGTTGAGAAACTAGCAAGCGTTTCGATTGGATGGCGCTTGCCTGAGCTACAAAAAAGTCCTCACGTTTAAGATGTAATTAGCGATGTATTGTTTGTCAGGGGCTTGGACAAGGAACAATTGGTACTACTAAGCCATGGCGATAGCATAGACAGGGTGGCCGACTGCTTTCGTACTACTGCCAGATCGTCAAGCTTTATAGCGGGTATAGCGAGCGATAAGATGAATTTGTACGGCGTGCAATTTCATCCCGAAGTGGATTTAACGCCTAACGGGAGATCGATGTTGCATAACTTTTTATTCGGTATCGCTGGCCTTACGGGTAATTACACGCTCCGCGATCGGGAGACGCAGTGTATCCAATACATCAGAAATACTGTAGGCGACAAGAAGGTTTTGGTACGTAATTCAAGTTTGTCGCCCCCTGAGGTAACGTCAAGTTGCGATATCTTGGCGAGACGTATCGTTTAAATTGATCCAAATCCCTTGTTGCAGTTATTAGTGAGCGGTGGCGTGGACTCGACAGTGTGTGCAGCTCTATTACAGAAAGCTTTAAGTAAGGAGCAAGTTATAGCCCTACACATTAATAACGGCTTTATGCGCAAAGGGGAAACGCAATTCGTGGAACAAAGTCTAGCCCAATTGTGCGTCACGTTAAGAGTAGTGAATGCTGGTCGCTATTTCATGCAGGGAACGACGACCGTCCCACTGGACAACGTTGCGCCTGTAATGAACGCCAATGTTACGAATAACAAGGGGATGTGCGGTACAGCGAGTAGCCCAAGAACCAGGTTAACGAAGATGTTATGCGAGACTACTAATCCGGAAGAGAAGCGAAAAATTATAGGGGACGTTTTCGTAAGAGTCGCGAACGAAGCGATGGCAGAGATGGGATTGAAGCCGGAGGATATTTTCCTCGGGCAGGGCACTCTCAGGCCTGATCTAATAGAAAGTGCAAGCGCCTTAGTCAGTGGTAAAGCTCCACTTGTTTTTTTTTTTTCAATATTCTCAGCGAACTGCCGTGTCCTCGTGTTGCAACGCGAATTTTGTTTCATTCCAATTTCTCTATTCAGGTAAAGCGGATGCCATAAAGACGCACCATAACGACAGCGAACTTGTGCGAGTATTACGAGCGCAAGGGTATGTAGTCGAACCGTTGAAAGATTTCCACAAGGACGAGGTGAGACAATTGGGTTGTGATCTCGGATTGCCGGCGGCGCTTGTCGCGCGTCATCCATTCCCAGGCCCTGGACTCGCGGTGCGAATCCTTTGTGCGGAGGATCCGTACATAGAGAAGGATTTCTCCGAAACGCAGGTACTGCAGACGCGAAATACAAAAGTATAGAAACTCCACAGTTTCTTCAATGGTCCATTGACGTGAATTGTACTTGGTTGCAGGTCATAGTAAAAATAATGGCCGAGTACGAGCAGATGTTACAGAAGAAGCACGCGTTATTAAATCGCGTAGAAGGCGCGACGAGTGAGGCCGAGCGTCAGCAACTCCGCAGGGTTTCGAGTCATCGTCATATCGCAGCAACCCTCTTGCCTATTCGCAGCGTGGGAGTTCAGGTACTTGAAAATCGTCAATGTCGAAATATTTCATTTCCAATTTTGCGAGATAATAAAACACATTTCTTTCCCAATCTCCGCAGGGCGATCGGAGAACTTACAGCTACGTGGTAGGTTTGTCGTGCGAAGAGACTGTGTCCGAGGGTGTGGAATGGGAGGATATGTTATTCCTTGCAAAACTAATTCCACGCGTGTGTCACAATGTGAACCGTGTGTGCTACATCTTTGGGCCGCAGTTGCATCATCCAATCCAGGATATCACGCCTACGTATCTCACCTCGAATGTGATAGCGACTTTACGACAAGCGGACCACTTAGCTAATCAAGTATTGGCTTCTAACGGCTGTATGGGGGCCATCACCCAGATGCCCATTGTTCTAATACCGATTCACTTCGACCGCGACACGGCATGTCGAACGTTATCATGTCAACGTTCCGTTGTGCTTAGGCCGTTCTGCACTAATGATTTCATGACCGGCATACCCGCCATTCCTGGCAAGGACTTGCCGATACACGTAAGTTCGTAGCTCTTTATATGTATACACCCACGCGCGTATTCAATCGTTTAATCGATCTCAATTATGTCTCACAGGTGGTGAAAAAGATGGTAACTGAAATATCTACGGTGCCCGGAATCTCACGCGTTTTATATGACCTAACGTCTAAACCACCGGGAACAACCGAATGGGAGTAGTCAAACGCTCATCTGGCCCCTTTCTATTTTTTCACCATCCCTGCGCGCGTAACGATTACAAAGCGAAAAAATATATTTAAAAAGTATATAAATAAATATATATATATATAAATATTACGAAATACACGAATTCGAGATTGACGACTTCTTACTAATTTATACAAGACCGAGCAAACTTTTTCCAAAGGCATACATTAAATGAGTCGTGTATTACTGGCTTCTCTAGACAAAGAACGGCATTCGCGTTCGATTGAAATTAAAGATAATTACATTTGCATGTAAATAGATTTCTTATATTACACACTCATTAGTAGAAATTTAATTTATTAAATTTACGAGAATTCAATTATCGTTATTGCATCTCGAATCATTACATCTGATCAACGGTACCATTAGATTGTTATTGTACTCGATCTGCATATAACGTTGAACATGTTTCACGGTTCTTCTATATGTTCTATGCCAAATGCAGTTTCCGGTTTTCGTTGTACATCTAAAAAAAAACCGTAGACATATAAGTACGTTTAATGTATCATATGCCGAATATTTTTATTTATCGATCATGAGTGAGTAAAGCGATATCTGTTCCTTAAAATCTGCAGCGTTGTACTATTTATTATCCATTTGTTACGAAGTGAAAAAAAAGAAGCATTTATTATAGTAACAGAACTCTTTCAAAGGTAGATTACCTGTACATGGTCTTCAACAAGACATGTAAATCTTCGATGCGTCTCTTTTCCGGAAGCATGCTGAGAAACGTCGCTAATGACAGAAAGTCTACTTCGTTCACGGCATTAGATTTAGTAACCCATGTTTGTATTTGCAGTTTTACCTATAAAAGTGTCATATATTTAGTTCGGTTGATACCAAAAAGATATCTTTACATAATATACGTAATTTTTCAGACAGTAATCTGAATATATTGATAAAATTACTGTATAAAGAAAAAGAGTAAGGACGAAGAGGGGAAAAACGACACGATTCTTCATTCCGAACAATATTTATCAGAAAAAAAGAATTTTGTTCAATTTTATGTTAAAGATTGGATAAAACCTCGAGGGCATTGTATGTACGAATATTGATTGTAATTTAATAGGAAATTTTCAAGAATTAGCTAAATCTATTCTCCTGTCCTTTCTAAATTATTTAACATAGTGTAAGAAAAGTTGAATGCTTTTTATTATTTATTTCGATATTCACGTTAAACCGCGTTAATTATCCATAATTATTTGTGTTTCTAAACTAGAATTAAGTTCCTAAGTTGTCATTTCCGAATATGCAACAAATCTGCAATTTAAAATATCGAAATAAAATTTGCGCAACGTACTGTGATAAGCTAACGATTGTCATGGGATATTGCTGGATTACACTTTTTTTTATCATCGGGCTTGAATCTTCCGTAATTTTACTCGTTACTGTGCCAATGCCACAGTTACCGATCAATGTTCGGCATGATGGTCATGTTCACGACATTCGCGTACTAAGTACATTTTACAAACCGCTAACTCTACACAGATCGAGGGATCTGAACACCAATGCATTATTCACAAATAAAAAAAAAATCACACTTTGAAGCGTAGCATTCACCAACTTTTGTAAGATGCAAAATCCGATAAATAGCCGCGTATAAGAAAAGGATAGGGTATCTCTGATGCATCTGATACGTCAATACTACGGCAATAATAGGTGAACGATTCGTATTACTTGTTACGAGATAATTTTATACAATGTTTAATATTAATTGGAATTGTAACGGTTATGTGCACCGAATCTCGAAAGATATAGAATGCTAGAACGTTCAGTTCCTATTCAATAATTTGTCTTAATGAAATAATTATGTGGTACCTGTTGTAATGGGAGGGTGAAGAGATGATTCACAAGATTAATCAACATTTCCTGGTGTTTATCTACGTTCTCGTTGTTATGTAAAATACTTAAATTCTGTAAAATAAAGGTATCGGCTTTATCCATCGCAACATTACTGTGTGAAATCTCAACGTGATTCACTTGAGGCGAGGTAGACTGTCCCTCGACAGTACCATCCTTTTCACACAGTTTGTCCCCTGCGTGCATCGTGTCCTCTTCTGATTTACGTTCGGCCTTATTTTTACAATTGCTATTTACATTACGTATCGCATTCTCCTTACTATCACTGATCTTTGAAGACTCACCAGCTTCTTGCAATCGCTCGCTGTCGCTGTTCTCACTCGTCTCTTTGAGATTCGCTCTATTCGCTTCTCTTTTCATATCGCAGTACATCTGCACGTCGCGTTGCACATCGGGATGCAAATCGCTTTTCATTAAAGCTGATAAAACGTCCGGATCAACTTGCGAACAATTGTGTGCATTTGAACTTTCTTCGTTACGCGGAGCTTCATCTACCGAATCGACCGTACTCGCGGCATTCGTTGCAGCTTCAAATTGTCTCTTGTTTCTTTTGTACTCGTCAAATATCTCGTTTCTTATATCCGCGGGTAATTCGATTAACACGGACATATCGATATCTTGCACTCGCGGTATCTCGTATTTCGACGATTTTCCGCCATTCGGTTTCACTTGTCTAAAGAAATTCTCTTGAGACGTCTGTCGTTGGATCACTTTCTTACTAGATTTTCCAAATAGATCCTTCACCTTAGTAACATTTTCATTTACCTTAGGATTGCATAACTTTTTATTTTTTGACTTAGCTGCCGATATCGACGATTCGATTTGAACATCGACCGGAATTGCAACACCGGTCGATTCAGAGGCTTTTGCCAATTGCTGCGACAAATTAGTTTCTGTATCGCAACCCTTTCTTATTGCCAGTGATGATTCTGTAGTTGAAGGCACTCCAGAGCAATCCGAGACGCAACGATCTTCCAACATTTTATCACCCGTTTGTTCTAATTTTCTCGTCTTATTAAAGAAATTGACCAAACTACTTTTAGCTTGCTTGGCCCTGCATATTTCTAGTCTGGATATTTGTATTCCGATTCCTCTCATATCTTCGGGCGTTAAATGCAACTGATTCCAAATATTTATAATTTCCCTAGGTCACATAAAACATGCACTTAATTTCGCGAAATATACATTGTGAAAGCATAAGATGTACAAGAGAGATCAACAGATTATAAACAAGCTCACTTTCTAATGATATTAACGTCGTCAACAGCCGTTATGAGATTTTTCGATTTCGTGATGTAATTGCAGAGACCGTGACCCATGAACTTTGCGGCTTCCTTCGGCGCCTCCTCAGCTCTGACCATCAATTTTAGCGTGATGCATCTACCCTTTGCACGTGCTGCTGTCAGTCGATTGCACACCTCTACAGATAATTCGCTCAAGAAATCGATAGCATCGCCATTATTCTGGAATCTTATGCCATAATTAACTTCCGCCGACACGGATTTTCTAACGTATTCCAGATTCAGCTTCGTGTCGTCTAACCCACGGCACATCTTGTACAACTGCTCCCCCATCTTCTTGCCGAATTCTCTTTGTAAAACCCCCAACGACAACTTCTGCAAATCCTCGCATGTATGTACATTGATTTTATGCAATTTGTACGCTGTCGTTCCGCCAACTCCTAGATACAGAAAAAAAACAGGCGAGTTAAATTAACGCTAATAGAGGTAACAGAAATGTTAAAAACGGAATTCAAACTAAGTATTTATACAATTCCCCAATATTTTTAAATAACAATTTTTGTTAAATGTAGTGTTTTGTTTTTGCAAAATAATATAAATGATATTGACGATCGCTCAAATACCTGGTAAGTCTCTTATGTTAAAAGCTTGAATATACGTCTCTGCGTTTCGAGCGCTCAGATAGAACTGATTATCGGGCTTGGCCTTTCGCGTTGCCAGTCTCGCTTGCAGCTTATTATTACCAAATCCTGTGGACACCGGACAATTCGTTTTCCGCTTGATCTCGTCTCTAATCACAGTCGCGAATTCCAACGGCGCGAGTCCGGACGCCTCGAGGATCTTGGTGCAATCGACATACATTTCGTCGCAGCTTACCGCCTCGATGTCCAAAGTGTAGGACGCCACGGTGTCGTACAGTACGTACGAAACTTCCTTGTAGCCCTCGAAGTCGTACTGAATCGTCTTTAAATCTGGGCACCGTTTCAACGCCTCCCCCAGAAACATGCCGTTCTTCACGCCGGCCTTCCTCGCGGCGTACGAGCACGAGGCTACCTCCGACATCGAGCCGAACTCCTCCCTGCCGTCGTGATTCGCCGAGAGCGCGTTGCCCTTCGCGTGGGTCACCGCTACCGGTACGCCTCGCAATTCCGGCCTATTTCTGACACCCACGGATACGAAAAAGCAGTCCATATCGATGTGCATTATCACGGGTTCTTGCTCGTGCTTTGCTTTGCCAGTGATTTTGTCTGTAAAACAAACCGTCTCGTCTTCAGAATCTGACTCGCAGGCCGAGGTTGCGGCGCTCTTGACGCGTCCTAATTTTATCAAACGCTCAAGACCGGGAAACGCTCCGTCGCTCTTGTCCCTTAACTCATTCACGTAGTCTTTAAACGCAGTGCCCATGGTGGAGATGTAGTGCAATCTCGAGTTGCTGTAAAACGCCGACAGAAATTCCGCATCCTTTGTAGACTGCGCGCTTGATCTTGTACCCGAGGATTGACCGAAATTGCCTGTATCTTGCTTCGACGCATTATTAAACGCGTGCTTCGATGAACTTCCGTTATTCGTGTCGTCGTTGCTGCGCACAGTGCTCGCCGGAGCGTCAGGTCTCTCCCGTTTGTCATGCGTAAGCGGGCCAGCGGCATCTTTATCCTTGTCATTCAACTTGTACGCCAACTGACGCTGCACATTAGTGCCGTTGGAGTAAAGTAAATAATTCTGAAAATTCAGGATCCTCCCGGCCGCGATGCTGTCGACAATCCACTGCGGCTTACAGATGGGAATTGGGTTCTGGCTCTTTCTGTACAATACTATCTTGGAGTACGGCAGATTGGACGCTATAATGTGAGTCGTGATTTTCGGACGCATGTAATGATGATACACTCCACCGTGCATCATCATCAGACGCCTGAGCTCGTCCGACGCTGGATCTGTATAACCGTTGACGAATATTGCAACTCCCTCGAACAGTCTCGACGACTCCTTAAACTCTTTGCTGGCCGCATCGCGAAACTGCTCCTGCAGCTTGGCCTTCTTCGCTGCCATGTACCCGCCCTGAACAAATATTTTCATAAATGACGCGGGAAAAATTAACAGACGAGTAAGTAAACACCAATAACCCGCTCACCCACTCTTCGAAGCCATCCTCTGCCCAAGCGTGGCCTCTCTTCTTCTTTGACATAACTGCGTTAATCTCGCCGTGCGGAAATCTCCTTATCGATCATTATCACGCGACAGATGTGTGCTGGAACAAGTAAAGAGAATCAATAGAGAGCCAGTGCGATTGTGTCAATTATCATTTTGCCAGAGTCCTTAAAATTTTAAGCGCGTTACATTCTTCCCTCACCGTCACCGGGCGAGATTATTAGTAGAGGAAAGTCCCCTGTTATGCGATAGGACCCTAATATAGGATAGCAGGGTTTCTGTTACGTTAATAGCGAGGGGGAAACCGCTGAGGGCATTGTGGTGTACAGATTTGCGGCATTACTGGGCATTTTTTGGGGCATTAGTCTGGGCATTGGGCCTTGCTGGGGCATTATAAAGATAAAATAAGATAAAACAGGATAAATAATATAAAATAAGATAATAAAATTAAGTAATACTCACTGGGCATTACTTTATCTTATTTACTTATTATATTTTATTTGTCTTGTTTTATCTTATTTCATCTTATTTTATCTTTACAATGCCTCAGCAAGGCCTAATGCCCAAAAATGCCTAGTAATGCCCAGTAATGCCGCAAATCTGTACACCACAATGCCCTCGGCGGTTTTCCCCCTCGGTTTATTGCCTTTTGAAGGAAATCTGTTCAGTGTAAAATTCATTGGATTGTGCGATCGTTGCGAAAAAAAGACTTGTGTTTGAATTATTTTTTCTACGATGCCTACAACAATTTGACACCTAATCACACATTTTTGCTCCATTCGACCGGCACACGGGCAGCGCGACGACGTTCCTAACCTCAAAGGTGGCAAACGATGCATCGCGCGAGCCAACCTTGCGGTTCAAAGCGGCCGGTGTTCAGCCTAACGCAGTCGTATCGTTAACGCCGGTTTACTTACGCAACGGTAACCCGCGGCGAGTCGCGTCTCCAGACATTCGCGCGCGGCATGGCGAGCGAGTCGATCGGCTCCTCGTCGCCAGAGAAAGCGCCCGCGTGTCCAAGCGACGTCTCTCCCCTCCGTCATCTGCCACGCGCTGTTTACCGTTTACACCGCGAGAAATCAACGTGACGATTTCTTTGTACCCGGCGCGCTTCTAAATGCACAAGATCAATATTTGACACCCGCCACGCTCGCGTCGCTTCCGCGCGAATTGAACTTAACCGAAATGTCCCTGAGCCTCATCTTCGGTCCCGTGACACGACACTTGTTGCGCGCGACCGCGTTTCCTCCCGCGACGGACTGTTTACCGTCGCGGAACTTTGCAACGCGACAGAAAATTGAATTTCAGAACGCGGCAGGGCGAAACCGCGCGACAACCACCGGAAACGTACTCCTGACTCGCGCCAATTGGAAAATATTAATTACGCAAGAAGCATAATTTTAGAATCGTCTGCTTATTATATAAATATTCAATTGATTACGTAACAATGGTAACGTGCCTTATTTCCGTCGGTAAAATATTTTTCGTATCCACAAATTTGAAATACATATTTCATACTTTAAATTTATTACGAAGATCCCTGGCTGAGGGGTAAGATTTTTCGCGATAAATTTAAAATACGAAATATTTAGACACTAACACCCTGCCGCGGCTCTCAGACCTCTATTCCTTCAACTTTGTGGGTACGAGAAATATTTTACCGACGAAAATAAGACAATTTATTGTTATATAATCAATTGAATAATTATTTATGTAATGATTCTAAAATTATGCCTTTTACGTAATTATACTTCCTAGTTGGCGCGTCAAGAGTACGTTTCCGGTTGTTGCGCGAAACTTGCGCGTGTGACTCGAAGGGATCAGAGCAGTGACAGTATGTTAGTGTCTAAATATCTCATATTTTAAACTTATTGCGAAAAATATTACCTCAGCCAGGGATTTTCGCGATAAATTTAAAATACGAAATATTTAGACACTAACATTCTGCTCTTAGTCCTTTATTCCCTCAAATTTGTATTTATCACATTTGCGCCATACGAATTTCATTAATTTGCTTCTCGTGTCCTCGCGTGGAAATAAAATGTGTAGCGCGGCTTACATTTTAAATACATACATTTTTATTACTAAGTCTTCGTTACCTCAATAATGTACAATAGTATTGACACATCTTTCTGTATTAAATCTTAATGCATTCTAACGCGTCACTCTTTAATACGCCCGTTCAACTTTCGTACCTAATAACAACAGCGGCATCTCGCTATACAAGATGTAGTGTCTAAAGCGTATCTATAAAACAAATCTCATACAAAATAACATTGAGAATAACAACGACCGAGAGGCTGAACTTAAATGGCATGCCTGTACAAGAGTACTAGAGTTCGTACCAGACGAGCTCTGCATTCGTACATATTCATAGAATACACATCTTCCCCTTTCTCTCTCTCTCTCTCTCTCTCTCACTCTCACTCTTTCTACAAAACAATAGCAAAATACTTTAATGTATTGCACGTATCTCAAATTGTATGGCAGGATATTTGAAATGCATAAACTATACTTACATCGACGTGGAAATTTATCTTTGTACCATTCTTCAATTAGAGAAGCTGAGGATATTCTTTTCAGAGATTAAAAGTTTCAACGCGTGATCGATTTCACAGAAGCTGCTATAGATAATCTTTATTGTAAGATTGCGTGGGTCTTATATACGTTCATATAAAATGATATTGCAATTGTGTGCGTGATGTGACGGTAGTATTATATGTATGCTACAAAGTAAGTTCATTATAAAAATAACATTTCTCTCTCAGGATACATGATGAAACAAAGAGACCAAAAGAAAAAACAAAGATTCTGCCCGAATCCTTAAATCGTTAATAACAACTTTCTTGCAAACGCACGCAGTTACAACTATACCAGGTATACTTTATAAGCAGCAGTCATTTGCTCGAGGAAAATGAAGGTGAGGACTGTGTGGGGCCCGAGACGCGCATAGTACGGGAAGAAGCCTTTCCACAATGCGAACAATCCTTCGTTTCTTACAACCTTGGTCAGGACGTCGATTGCGCCTTTAAACTCCGGTTTGCCGTCCACCGTTTTCATATTTTGGATTCTGGAAGGTGGATCGTTACAAATCGGACTTCTATGCTAAGAATGTTAACTAAATCTTAGACCTGAGCTTGTCACGATACCTTGTTTTCGCTATATCTACTGGCATGGAGGCAGCGGTGGTGACTAAACCAGAAATCATGGAGCTTGCAAAGTGTAACAGAATATTTTCCTCAAAGTACCCTGTTGCAAAGGAAAAAAAAAATACAATACGACAAATGCGAAGGGAAACGTTTATATATACTCGACAGCGCACGCCCGGTAACGATGCGAACCTGTGTCCAGCAAGGCCTGCTTCGCCTGAGAGTACGACGCCAACTGCGCCGCGTTTACAACCATAGCTCGTCCCATGGTAGGAATGGCGCCGCGCCACAACGTGAAGAGACCCTCCTCTCTGATTATACGGAACAACGCGTCGAAAACGTTCTTGTAATTCCGCCTGTCAGCTGCGAGCATTCAAGATGTTTAAATTCTACAATACGCGCGCCGACGCGTGTATCATTAAATTAATACACACTAAAGTATAGAGGGAAAAGGATAATCAAAATTCACCAAGAGATAATCTTCCGTCCGCTGTCATCCTAATTAAAGCTACTTCGGCTGGTGTGCCCACGAATGCTCCGACACACCCAGCGGTCATACCGAGCAGGGCCTTCGTGATAAAACTTGGCTGCGCATCTTTCCTAGATAAGATAAGCGTGTTCTTAATTGCAAATTCGCTTCGAACTGCAAAGGCAAGGGTCTAGCCAGACAAACTTGCACGCGTGCAAGGAAAACTGACTGTATATTGTCTTATGCGTGCTATTTATGACCCAATCAGATTTCCTACGCACACGTTTATGCGCTATGCAAGTTTGTCTGGCTGGGCCCCAGCCGTACGATCGGGCTCGCGCACATAAAGCTAACTTACGAAGAGAGTTCCAAGAGCCAAGTGTATATACCAAGTCTAGTGGTGGTATACGTGGCCTGTCTCATCAAACCGGCGGACAGGCCTGAGTATAGTGCCAGGACACCCTCATTCTTTAGAATAGCCGACGTGACGCTCAGCGTTGATGTTTTCGTGCCGCTCAGCTGCATGCGATTCTTTATTAAATCCAACGGCTGTACAAAACACGTCGCTGCCATGCTGCAATTAAACATTATCACACCCTTTATCCCCTGAGAAAAAGAACAAAATACGGGCCTCGAGTTTATCAGCCTTTCAACCGAAAAGAAAAGATTCTCCAACAGTCCCCGATGTGCACAGTTAAATTTTTATAAGTTACATTTGACAAAAATTAGAAGCGGAGCATAAAAGCATCTTGATTGCTACAAAGTTTCGTTGGGTGAGCTTAAAATTAAATTGCATTACTTTATATTTCTCTAGGAACTAAATGAAGCCCGTTGATTTGACAAAATAGTACAAATATTACACTGTATCTGTAATTATTAAAAGTGACAAAAGTCAGCTTTTTATGACGTTATCGGTAGAGAAGTTGTATATATATATATCTGTTTGTCCAGGGTTACAATTCTATTAATAGTACAGCGAATAAGATATGTATATGTGTACGCTCATTGCGTCATCGTGAAAAAATAAAAATATTTTTTTTTCCTTCCGCCCCCGGTCGCCAATAATAGGCGCCGGTTATGTAATTCACCAGAATCCCGATAAGATTTAATCTCGACCTTCGAACTCGAGCCCTGAAGCGATCGCGAGGTCCTCTTATTGTTAGGAAAAACAATGTGCACTTGTACTCTAAGATCGCCGCGGGCTCGGTGGCTGTACATTTCACAGATGTCACACGCCCGAGGCAAACGAGTGAGAAAAAGGTGGCACACAAACCCCGAAGTCCCGCCAATGAGGAACTTGACACCGTTCGGTACTGTCTTTTGGCTGCTCATTTTGACTAAATTCGATTAAACTCGCCGAGTACCGCGTCTCTATAATTAACCGCGCTGTTATCAATCACCCCGCGTGTCCCCGTGTAAAATAATTCGCGATGATCACTGGACGCGCGAGGAGTATAAAATAATTAAAAAACGGCCTGCCGTGGGAGCCGCGTCCTGGCCGGGCGTGCACCGTTCATGAACACAGAGGAAATCGGAATGGTCGGAATTCGGTGTCGGGGGATCGTGCGTGTCCGCGGTCGCCCTTCGGAGTGCGGGGCATTCGCGGACATACGTTATCAGCTGATACGGAATTACGGAATAAGCGCCACCTTTCCGCGGCATTGATACTTCGTTGAACTTGGATGCTTCGCGCCCCGCGTGAAGTCGCGCCATTTTGTGAGTTCGCTCGCGGTGTCGTGTTCAAACGCTCGCGCCTTTTACGACTGTCGCCTAACCGGTCATTTTTTAAAAATAGAATATAACGCGCGCAAATTGTGCGCTGAATTAAAATCGACAATTCCAAAGGTCTCGATTTCCGAAACTCCCAAACATTCGCAGGCAAATATAGAGAAGTTACAAAGAGGGAAAGCTTATAGTCGCATTCAGATACAGGCCATGTTTTTGCCCTGTTACGTTGATTCTTTTAAGTTTACTTAAATTCTTGTATAAATTGTAAGATCATTTTTTCGACGGTCAGTAAAGAGAAGAATAACTTTACTTACTAAAAATAGATAAATTATCGACACCCGAGTATTTTACAAACTGTATTTTACCCGCAAACTTGAAGCGGCGTTATCTGAAGAATGTAGGACGAGGCGTAACATTAACTAACATTCTAAAATTAGAATTCATAGAGATTTTTACAAACCGCGAAGAGTTCAATTCTCAATTACACCGGGAGAATGTAGGTAAACGGTGACGTTAACTGAAAGTTCAAAAATCGTTAGAATTCATGAAATTGTAAAGCGAATGTTTGTGCACATAATAAAAATTTTAATTCCGAGAAGTCGACAAAGTATCAGGAGAATATAATCGAACGAGAAGTGACGTTACTCAAGAACTGCAATGAAAGAACCTTTGGAATTTTAGATTTGTAAGGAATTTGCGAAAACTTGAGTCTCAAAAGTATCATGTTACTCTTGGATTATAGGAGCAAATGTTTCTTTAGATCGTGGATAAAAGTTTCAGTTTCGTTTAACATGGAAACTTTCAACTTAAAGAGTTTACAATACTAATTTATTTAATATCACAAACTAAAGCTACAAATGCATAATCTTGTAATGGCGTTATCTTATAATATAGGCATTTTTATATACAGAACAATGAGATTTGCGACTACTGATCCGTCGAAGTGTCGTGCAACGTATTGGACAATGGTAATTCAGGCTCTGCCAAGGATATCATACGTCCACACGAATCTGACGACCTAAAATTGATCATCGAAGAGAATCATTAGTTTTCAGAATCTCAAATACACACACACACACACACACAACTTACACATCTTTTAGAAGATGTAAGACTTGTTTGTGTTCTATCCCTTCCAGCCACAAGTTTAGCAACTCCTCTCGTTTACATCTCAGCAACTGTTTGCAGGCATTCAGGTTCTCCTTCACCGCATGGATCTTCTCTCGCGACAACGTAACTTTCTCAGACAGCGCGCTGAATATCTACGACAAGACGCGATGTAGACGAGACGTGCACGCTCGCAACGGCGGGTGTCCCGAGTTCCCTGCGGGATTTAAAATACGCAATGATCTACCCGCATAACTTCCACGAGGTCCTGATCGTGCGACGAAACCAGCTCCTCCAGCCGCTGGTCGCTGCGCTTGTACTCCTTCTCCAACTTGGCTTTCTCGATCTCCCGCTGCTCGTTCGTCTCACTCGCCGACAAGGCGCGGATCACCGAGATCAGCAAACCACTCTGCAGAGGCACGCGAGACAATGTGAGAACTCGTTCAACTACGCCTCGCTCCGGCGCAATTCAAATTAGGGGGATCTTTCATTATTACAAGATTTACTTGCCGTTTCCTTCGTCGGTTTGATCCCTCGCGGTGGTTTGACGGGAGGCGTCATGTTCATCGTACGATTGTCGAAAGTTGGCTAACGAATAAACGCACTTCGCTCTCCGAGACTCAGGTTGACCCTCTTCGATTCAACTCTCTCCCCCTCTTGTCGACACGTTGCACAAATGTACGCGCACAAATGCGAAAGGTACGACGCGAAATCCTGACCAGCCCCTGTTAAATTACAACATTTCCCGTGTGTTTCGAATGCAAAGGCGAGATCTCGTGTTACGACTCGGTCGTTACGTCGGGTTAAGTTGTCGTATACGAGACACGGCGTTTCTGTCGCCAACAGGTCGAGCGATGCCGAAGGCGAAGCCAAAGTTTCACTCCGAGTCAAGTCAGCTGTTTTCCTCCAAACTAAAATTCTCCCCCCCCCCCCCCCACGCTGGCACTTGCCACGTGACCGCGCGAGAGTCGAAGTGGCGGACGGAGCGCGCGCGGAGCAATTTTCTATTTGAACATTAGAATAGAAATCGGGGACGGATTTCCCGAGCGAGGTGTCGGCAGAGGAAATCGCCGGTAGATCCGTCTTGAATTGTGCCCGAGATCGAATTGTACGTTCGGATTCGAAAGAAAAGGGGGAGAACAATAGCGTGTAAAAGCACAGATCTATGGTTCCTTCAATTGCACTTTCTACACCTCTGCGACTTTTCGCGGCTAAAGCCTTGTGTCCACGATTCAAAAACTGTGTCCAAGTTC